TTTTTTGTTTCCACGGATGAAGAGAAGTCTGAAAGGAAAGCGATTCCGTGATGTGGATGAAGTCAAAGAAAACACGCTAAAGGCTTTGAACAGTATCCAGCCTCAAGAATTCCAGCACTGTTTTGAGCAGTGGCAAAAGCGTTGGGACAAGTGCATTAATGCACATGGACAACACTTTGAAGGGGACTAATATACAGTTCAGTAAAAATGCAAAAATAAAAAATAACAAAAATAAATTCCGGTTATTTTTGGGTCCCCCCTCGTATATCAGTACAGCCCTTAATAATGAATCCAGGGATGTCGTCGACTCCAACAGACTTAGATGGTCTCAGGCACTTAATGGCTTTAATAACATCCGAATTGGAAACAGATGCTAAAAGTAAGAATTCGGAAGATGACAATAGGTTGCCGAAAACAATAGGACCAGGATTGTGGTATACTGTTTGAAAATGCTTTGAAAATTCATCAGCAATATCATTAGGTTCGATTAAATGCTTACTATCAACCTCAAGCTGGATTGAATTAGAATTTCTTTTCCTAAAGGAGGCCACATATTTCCAGAATTGCTTGGGTTGCGACTTTAAATTTTCATCCACAGATTTCAACCATCTAAATCTGTCAGACTTAATAGTAGTCTTAATTAGGTTATGATAGAAGGAAAATTTTTGGTAAAGGTAATGGGATTTTTTTTTGACGTCTGTAAAAATAGTTCTTTTTCCTTATGTAATACCTTAAGGAACTAGAATACCAGTGTGGGAATTTCATATGAGTGTTTATGATGCCACGTTCCATGGCTACTTGAACAGAAACATTGAGGCTGGCGACAGCAGAATCCACAGAGGGGGGTACCACACACACAGGACCAGTTATAAGTTGAGAGATTATTATAAAGCAATGCATAATCCCCAGACAACAATTTACAGTACGAATATCTATAGTTTTGAATACAAGTGGCAAGGGGCAGACAAATATTGATAATTAGTGGAGGGTGGTAACTGTCAGGTTTTATAAGTCCAGAGTCAACAGGAGTAATATACTTATGTCGTTTAAGTTAGAAAAAATTAAATCAAGTAGATTGCTGCTGCTGACATTATCAATGCTCTGATTAAGATTTAGTAGACACGTGGAAGTGTAGATCGCATCTCCCTTAAGTTTAGAGTAATAATGGGAATTGGGCAGAGCTAGACCACTTTTCCAGTCGAAACCAGGGGTGTTAAAATCCCCAACCATTATTACCTGAAAATTATGTGTATCCAGATTGTTTTCTAAAAAACGAAAGTAGTTAGCAATGTTTTCAGGATTAGTGTCGGGGGGGAAAGTAATGATTTCCAATGAGTAAGTTAAGGCCATCTGAAGTGGGGATTTCAGCCCATACACATTCATTGCAGGATTCTAAATCGTATCTGCGTTTACAGGAGCGAACACTGGAGGATAGAGCAGTGAGAACTCCACCACCACATGTTTTATTTAAAGACACCCTGTCAGAACGGAAAACTGTATAGCTGCCAGGAAATAAATTATAATCATAACACAGGTCGTTTAGCCATGTCTCAGTTAAATAATTTTATAGTCCGTGGAGCAGATATTGTCATGAAGTTCGACTTGTTTACTCTTAAGACCTCTGACATTTTGGTAATATATGTGAAAACATTTTATAATAATAGCAAACCTTTTAAAATTCACAAAACAGTTCTATCACAGGTGGAACAAGCTGTATTTTTTCACAGTTATGTCATATGTATGTGAATCTTTTAGCTGCTTTATTTCTTTCATAGGCCTTGCGAACAGGATCGCTGTATGGTGGCTATCGTGATAAATCAAGGTCAACAATATTAGCATATAGAAATTACACATCACTGCAGAAATTGTTAAAGGAAGCAGAAGAAGAAGTCCAAAAAATAAAAGATGACATAAAAGATCTTAGAGATGAAATGACAGAATACTCCACTGATAAACAGAAACTTGAGAGGAAGATTGTAAATGCCAAGTGAGTTTCCCACTTAGCCTATTAACTTCTCATTATGTAGCTCTTTTCCTTCTGTCAGTCTGCCTCTTATTTTCACTTTGAAGCGTGTCAGATTGGATGTCTATAGTGTTTTCATAATGAAATTGTATTTTTATGGATTGCTGTTCTTTTNCTTCTAACTGTATTGATGTAAAGGTATTCCGCTGAAGATGGTCTCTGAAGACCAAAACATGTAAGGGCATGAATAAATGAAATAAGAAAAAAAAAATCTTAACCAGTCACACTGGACGGATCTAATTAACTTTTTCATAATATTATTATTCATATCTGGCTGAATGACATATTATTAAAATGTGGTTCAACTAAGATCTTGGCAGAGGCATACATTCAGGATTTAAGGTTCTCATGTCTGTGAATATGAAGATCACTGTCTTCTAACATACGACACCATGCAATCCGATAGAAAATAAACCAATATTTGTAAGTAACCCACTGCTTCCAGCTTCTGTCCTGATGAATGTCACTGATATTGGATCTAGAAGGTACTGTATATGGTAAAGTGGATGATAACCCCTTAATGAGACACTTATACCAGTAATATAAGCAAGTACTCTTACAAGTACTGCTACCATCCTAATTTCCTCTGTATACTGGTCAAGAAGAAACATACTAAACTACAATTTTTTTTCATTGTTTAGCTCAGGTTTGAATATGTCTTTCATACTGAGAGAAAGACACTTGTTTAAGATATTTAGAAACATACGCTGAGGGTAATATTTGGACATAAAGAAAATTGTAGGGAATGAAGAAAATCAGGTAATAGTGTGCTTCATAATTTGTTCTCTTCACCTAATATCAGGACAGTTAAATCAGTGAATTTGAAGTGGGTGGCATATGTAGCAAACCTAGAGAAATGAGAAGTAAGTATAAAATGTTGGCCAAAGAATCCCATGTAACAAAACCATTCAGGAGATGAAGTTATAAAAGAACAACTAATGCTAAAATGCATCATAGGGCAATAGGCTATGGGAATACTCATTGTTATTTAAATTTCACAGCAGCTTGGATTTTCTTGAATAATCAAGTCCATATTAATAATTTGTACTAATGATTTAGTTATTAACCAATGTTATTAGGCCTAGGAACCTTTTTCAAATGGATAGGCATAAATCTACCTAGGAGAAGTCTACGAATCAGTTCAGTTAGGTTGTTCATGAACCCTTCATGTTACCCATGAACGAGGCCCATTATTACTATACACTGGGTTAAAAAGGAAGAATCGTCAATCTTGAGTTCTTCCTGGAAACAAAGGTAAACACAATATTACTACAGTATACATATAGTTCAGCATATGGCTCTGTTTAAAATTGTTACTTCAGTATCCATGAACAAATTGCAATGGCTTTTAAATGGTCTGTGGATTGTTTGTTTTTCAGAAGCACCATTGAACATATCAGGTCACAGAAGATTCTGCTGACTAGTGACTTGGATGGTCTGAAAGACATGAGAGGAAAGAGAGAAAAGTTATTGGATCAGTATCAGTCAAACCTAGAATTGCTCAAGGCCCGTAAGATTGTTCTCGAGAGTGAACTAAGTCACGTAAGTTATAAGACTGTTGAGGCTGTGCAGAAAGTTTGGAAGAAGTGATAAGAGGAAACTAAATTTTTAGCCTTATTCTCTACATCTTGTTGAACGAGTTCTCCATCAGTCAGGTGTGAATTACCATAAAATAAACGGTGCAGGCTACAGTACACAAATCTTACATATCTGCTGCATATAGTATCAGTTTTAATTTACACCTCTGTAACCCATTAGTGTGGAGTGCCATGTTATTCCACATGGGTGACTGCTGGAGTTCGTGCTTCCGTCTCATAATATTATTTGAACCTCATGAATTCTGCTTGCATAATTTTCAAGATGAAGGTCAAGGCTATTATTGTATACTGACAAAATTTACTGATTCTTATAGGATTTAAGGTTCTTGTAACTGTGTTTATAAAGAGTACTATCTTCTGGGATTAATGCTGTGTAGTCCACTGAAAGTTAACTGATGTTTCAGAAGAACCTATTGCATACATCTTTGTGATCAAAGAATAAGCCAAGCAAGAAACCAGCCTGAAAGCATGTGGCAAGCAGAGATTATTCTTTGATCCTGATGATGGATGCAATATGTTCCTCTGAAATGTTGGTTGACATTTGGCAGACTACACAAAGTTATATGCGAGCCAATATTACTTTTCATGGATTGTTCATTGAGTAAATGATCTTGGAAATGTTGATTGTAATTCAGCTGTTAATAGACATGGCATGCATCAACTAGTAAACATTTACTGAATGGGAATGTTGGAAGTATTTTGAATTAATGTTTTCTTATTCTGAAGAGTGTCACTTTGATTCTAATCGCAAGAAAATTACTGCGATATTGCAACATCTTTGTTATTGGCATGTCTGAATTTAAATCCCCTGCACTCAGATAGGTTAAATGAAAGAAAGATTTGGTTTTCAAGTAAATTGCCATACTGTGTTTCAACCTTCATGAAAATAGCCTTGACATTACAATTAAGTTGTAATGTTCATATTTATGGCGCTTCTGGACACAGTGTAAAAACTAACAAATATGAGATATGGGAAAATCTATTAAATTGTTCATGCACTTGAGAAAGACCCAGACAGATGCATTATATCATCACATATTTTGTTTGTTAGCATTAAAATGTATGTATTCATCCTTTGGTTTTAACATGTGGTAATTGATAGTCATAATTTGTTTAACATCCATAACTGTTACACAGGCACGATTGGACTAGTCAGTTGAAAACAGCCAAGCACTACATGTCAACAACTCTTAAACATGTACAGGAAAATATAAAAGACAGTGTACAATATAATCCCTTTTTGATCAATATCCCCTTGCTATAGCTTACCAGCCACAAATGACAACTCCCAGCAATTCAATATAAAGCAATATATTTACTTAAACCACCAAAAACACGAGTTAGCCATGTAAAACAAAGCATTTAGTCCAAAGATACTTCTGTATCATATCGAAACTAACTCGAATTACCAAACGACCATCTAGCATTGTTACTAAGAAACTCTTCTAGAGAATAAAAACAGTTTTGTAATAAATAACTTTTTAAATTTATTTTTAAAATCTTAAAATTCTTTATTATTTTTAGTTCAGAGTAAGTTGTTATGTATTTTTATTCCCATATTAATTACACTTTTTTACAACGAGCAGTGTTGCATAATTGGATGTACAAATCCTGTTTCCCTTTGTTTTATACTTATGAATATCGGAATATTGAGTTGTATAGATCTTTTTTATAAAGCACAGGGTTTCAAATATATATAATGAAGTTACAGTTAAAATCTGAAAATCATCTAACAAACCTTTACAAGACACCCTGTTTTTAACTCCTTTAATAAGTCTTAGACCCTTTTTCTGTGTTTTAAATACTCATTACTCTCATTTACTCCCCCACCCCAGAATATAATACCATATTTTAGTATAGATTAAAATTTTGTAAAATAAACATTTCTTAGTCCAGGTATACTTACCCAGTTGAGCAAGGATTTAATCGAATAAAGAGCTTTATTTAATCTTTTATGAATGTATTGTATATGAGTGGTGCAGCTTAAGTTTTCTGTGATATAAATATCTAAAAAATTTAAATTTGATAAATAAGTTAGTTCTTTGTTATTTAAATACAGAACAGGTCTATGAGTTAAACTAGATCCTCTTCCATGAAATAGTATTGCTGTGGTCTTTTCCATATTTATTATAAGATTATTTGTCAAGAACCAATTTTCTAATTGTTTCATAACTTTTACGATTCCCCCTTTTAGAAATATGAAATTTTTCTCTATGAGTAATATATTTGTGTCATCCGCGAATAACACCACCTTGCCTTCTTGAACAGCTTGGGGCAAATCATTTATAAACAACAAGAACACAAAGGGTCCCAAGACAGAACCCTGAGGTACACCATAGTTTATTTCTCTACATGATGAAGTATACATCTTTATACTTGAGTTCTTTTCATCTAATTCCTCTATTTCCACAAATTGAGTTCTACCAGTAAGATATGAACTCATCCACGAGTGAAAACTCTGTTAAGGTGACACAGTTGAACTAGTGAACATTTAAACATTAATTATATGATGATACAGTATCTGATTTTTAGTGAATTGTGTCACTCACTGAATGCACTTCTGTGGTGATGTCTGTAGGAAGAATAAGCACCGTCAAGGAACACCATGTCATACTGAGACTCATATCTTTGAAGAGGACAAACTTTGACATAGTCATGCTTGTAACATTGGTATATATGTTTATTTTTCATTTGTTTTTATCCTCCCGCATGCATTTTGTCTACTTTGAAGATCCTAACATTTTATAAAAATATATGGATTAAACCCAAGAGGACAAGACAGTGACCATTAGTATTGAATGGGTAAACAGCTTTGGGGCCTGTTTTCTGAACCAATAATAGTAGTATCTTAATATAGCAATAGTCAGGAAACTTGCAGTCTCTGTTGAAGTTGAGAAATTTCTTAACAAGCTGAATAATTATGAGCTTCTTAAGATGGATTCTAGTGTAAGGAGTTAGGGGAAGTTCAATGTTGATGCAGTACGTGTTGTAGAGAGTTAAGTTTTATGTAAACACACCATTAGATAAACAGATCTGAAAACCATTAGCCTGGTTAAATGTATTACAAATTAGCTTATGTGACTCAGAATTTTCTTGCTACAGAAATTTGCTTTGTATGGATATTTTACAATATTATTGTGATCTGTTCCACGTTATTAATAAGAACTGTTTAGGTATTCCATTTTAATCAATGATGAACGGCATGTATTTATTTGGATAGGAAATGGTGGCACACTTGTCAGAATCTGAGCAGAGGGAGATGGACCACCTAAATGATGACATAAGAAGACTTACGGAGGAATGCAAAAAGTTGTTCAGTGAAAGATTGCAGCTTCAGTATGACAGAGTACAGTTACTGAAAACTACCTTCATAAAACAACATGAGCACTTGTCAGAGGTCAGTTTTCATAGAATAAATTATCCACTTCCACCATACTTGATTCTCCTGATGTCAGAAATCCTACACTTAATTGAGCAGTTTCATCCAGCCAACTGTTCTGAATTTAATAAACCAGTCATGGATCTTAAAGATATAAGTTCCCAGTGTTTACAATGGAAATCATTTGCCATTGAGATATAAATTTTCAAGGCATAAACATTGGTGGCATTTATGTTTTAGTGTTTTAAAGCTTGAATGTGTTATAAATCGAAGGAGCTCTTGTAACCTGACTTACAGTTGACCCCTGAATTGAGTGTAAACAGCTTGTGAATTATTGTATCTTCTATTGTTGGTGTCAGATGTCATGGTCGAGTGGTTGGCATGCCTGCTTTGTATTCTGGAATGAGGAGAAGAACCTCTGCTGGCACTACTGTCTAGCCTGTATCTTAAGTCACTGTGCTGACCGCAAAGCAAAAAGTAGCCTGTGTTGCTGATTTTTGTCAAAGGCAGTGCTGTGTTACATGTGAATGTTTCTAACATACACAGATCCTTGAAAGCCTGAATGAAGACAGCATTTACAGATCACTGGAATTGACAGATGTGGTCTTGGAGTCTGCAATAAAAGGTTTGAATGTAATTCAGGAGAAGCTAAGAGATACTGAGAAGGCAATTGAGGAAGCCAAAGAAAAGGTATGTTATTTTCGCAGAACTTGATTTTATTCATTATTTCTTATTGATTTAGTATAGGAAACATCTGTTGAATAATGCTTAGATGTGAGGATGTTTTGTGTCAATTCACACACATTTACACAAAATGTTTGTTAAAGTGAGATTCAGATGTTTCATAGAAACAATACATCAGTTTCAAAATTCTATTAGCTAAAAGAAAATAGACAATATTTTAGATAGCACTGATTCTCTTGATGTATGTGTGGAAGGTACCAACAGTGAATCTTAGCTATTTTATTAGCTGTCCTAACCATATTTTATACACTGTTACTGAGTCTGTGCAGATGCAAGCTAGGTATCACTTTGCTACAGGCCATGATCACTTTGTTTTGTAAAACATTTATATAATTTTGTTGCAAAGGAGATGAATGAAAATGTAGCAGAGTCAAAATTATGCAATTAAATACAGAGTGTGCAGTTTATTATTAGACTGATTCCCATAGCTTCTATGGCACACGTTTCACATGGGCCCACTGCAGCAGCTAATATTTTAGGTCTGACTTCTCTGCTGGAGTTTAAATTACCTTATTCTATATAAGAGTCTTAAAGTGATAAACATTCCTCACACTATTGTAATATGTTTCTAGACACATGTTGAAGGTGCTGTTTGGAAATATTGGAAATTTATGCCTTATATTATCTTGAAGATTTCAAAATAGTGCAGATTGTCCACATACACTTTTTCTTTCAGTATGCCCCGCAAATAAAAGTCCCAGAGATTTAAATTTGATGATCCCAGAGACTATGATCCATGAATTATGACTCATTCACCAGAGACTTAATCTAATACATCCATATAATTGTTCACAGTGTGTGATGCTGCATTATGTTGCACAAATTCCCATACAGTTTTTCTTTATGAGTCACTTGATTGAAGGAGGATGTCACAATCTCACATGACATTCAGAATTTATTTCCACAAAAAATAGTGTTCCAGTTATCCTTCATGCACCAATTGCATAGGAAACACAGACTTTTAAATCATGCAGTGGCACTTTGCGAAGAGCATGATGCTCCAGACTCTGTTATTTTCGCTGTTTATATAACCATGTAAACAGAACCACGCCGTATTAACCCTTACACTGCTGTGATTGACAAAACCCATATTGTGACTTTAGAGTTCCAAATCTCAGGTTTCTTTTCGCCAGTCTCATTCAAACTTGGCGGGTGCATAGAGTCATTTATTTGGAACGTAATGAAGCATCATTCATTTCAATGGCTGCATTCTTCTGCTGTCTAGCTTAAGAAATGTAAAAGGTTGCATCTGCACAGTGGGGCATGTGCTCCGTAGTCATGTGATGCAGGTATTTCACAGGGCTAGTAAAAATGGCTTTGTACAGTGCACAGTGCTTTCTGTAATAGTTCTAAATAAAGTTATGGACTTTGGTCAACATGTGACAATGATAAGACTGTGATATACATACAGTGATTCTAGGATAGTGAATTATGTAGTTTTTTGGCCATCTTGGAATTTTCCCCTGTGAAAAATACTGAATAATTCAACATTTTTGCAACTTCTGCTGCCTGTTCCCTGTCTGAGGTAAGATTAGTTACATTTTATCACATATTTTCATACTGTGCACTTAAATTATTTATAAAAGATTTACTCAAAAATAATTCAGCACAAAGGGTACTGAGAGTTACTTATCATGGTAGCAGTTAAAGGGTTAAAATAAAATGTCTGGGTCAAGAAGTCCATTGAACACCAATGCCTGAGACCGCCTATGTTATCATATTCCTTCTCTGCAACTAAAGCTGTGTTTTCTTAGTTCATAACTTTAGCAATGTTGTACCAACCCACATGAATGAGCCAAATAGATATGATGACTTCTTCAGGCTTGCTTCTAATTAAATACCTATGTCATCAAGAAGTTCTTCAGTCAGTACAAGTCTCTTCCAGATTTCTTTTTGTCTAACTTCAATTCTGTAGAACGTAACTTTGTTTCAATATTGTAAGTCCTCATTTTACACAGCGCTGTGCTATCAGGATACTTCTTATGAAACTTTCGACTGCTTTTCCTACCTGCCTACTCATTTGAATAATTTCTCTTCAAACCCTGTTTCATTTCTTTAACACTAAATTTCACAACACTACAAACTGTATTTATATGTAGTATCTTAAAGAGAACTAGCCATGGTAAATGTTGGTGCTATCAAGATAAGCCAGCAAGCATCAAATGATGAAGTGACAGCTCTGATGTCAGAAGTGGGCAGTCATGGGCAAACAGATTTCTAGCCATCCAGTCTAAGGATATATGAGATTCCATGTAGTATGGTATCATAGCTCCAAAGCTGTGTGGAATGTTCAAACGTTTACTGGCCCTAAAAAAGGGCAGTTTGTTCCACCATGAGTGCGCTGGTAGAATTTGCTCCTTTGTAGTAGACCAAGTCTTTACGGCCATTCAGTTGGTCTGTCTGGCCGGTGATGTGGTGTTGCGTGCGCCGGTAGGAACAGCTGCCTAAGGCACAGTTGCTGGAGAGTTGCGGCAACTATGTTAGCTGCCTGGTCACAGATCAAGGTTGCTGGAGAATTGCGGCAACTACATTAGCTGCCTGGTCGCAGAATGAGCTTGCTGGAGAGTTGCAGCAACTACGTTAGCTGCCCAGTAGCAGAGCACGGTTGCTGGACAGCCGCGGCAGCTACGTTAGCTGTCTGGTAGCAGAGAGCAGTTACTGGAGAGTTGCAGCAGCTGTCTTTGGCGCAGTAAACAGCTGATGACTCTGATGACTGATCACTCTGAACAGAATGTGATCACTGACTATTGCTAGTTTTGGGCTCCGCCTTTTATACCATGCTTGCTGGGCGGAGCTACAGTTGCAGTTGCGATTGTGAGCACTGATTGGCTAGTGCACGTGATGATCTACATGTGGGCTGGACATCAAGTGCTGTATAAATATGAATGCTGGTGGCAATGTGATATTGACTAGGAGTTGAGTGCTGTCTGTTAGACCGGCGAAACCGCGTGTTAGTATGTGCGATGTTCCCAGATCAGCAATGAACAGGTTCCATACTTTTTGATCAATCGATAATATGTTGCAATTTTTCTCTGCAGCAGAAACTAATCCAGGACAATTTGAAGAGTCAGAAGGCAGAAGAAGCAAATATACAACAAGAAATAGATGACTATGATAAGGAAATAAAGTTGTTTGCCGCCAAGAAAAATACTCTTATGACTAGAATTGAAGAATATAATGAAAACATATGTAAATTAGGACCTTTACCTTTACAAGAGCAAACCAAATGTAAGAATATGGGAACTAAACGTGTGAGTATGCTTTCTTGTTTTGAAATATAGATTCTGAATAATTCTCTTATCCACAGCAACTTTATTTGTTATTGGTTTAGGTAGGGATCCTTGAAAATAGATCCATTACATTTTTTTAATAGACTTCAGTTTAATGCAGATGTCCTCCTTTCACACTTGTATAACATCAGCTGTCACTACCAAAACCACCATAATAAAAATGTGTGAACTTTAGCCAGAGAAGCAAAAGACCAAGAGATCATCAAAATCATTATATCTCTTATCATGATTTGTATAGTGCCTCATATATTCTAAATTTTTGGAAAATTACCCTCCATCAGCTCAAGTTCAGTGTAAATTTTGATACATGTCATTGGACTAAACACTTAAATTCAAATATGCTGAATAAGATAAGCTCATTTTACTTTTTGTTTTGGTAATTCTTATATTTTTCATGGTAATATTTGGTTCTTTTCTGGGTGTATTTTCTTGTTAGATCGTTCTGTGATAAATTGTTTCAGTTAACCATTTAAGTTGGATTATGCCATTCCTGAAATTTGGGGTTCTCACAGGAATGAGTACTAAGCTTACATCCCTCATGGACATGTTGCCATGTAGTCTGCTGTGAAGGTACAAGCACTTCTTCTGCCCCTAAGATTTATGTACAATGTTTCTCTGAAACAGTGGTGTCTGTCTATCATGTTACATGGCATCACATCTCAGAAGACTGTAATACTCTATGCCAGTGTTTTTCAACTGCCGGGGCAGCCTTGTACCATGCCCTAGCATTAGTTATACTGGGCCTTGTCTTATGGAAAAAGAATTTACCGGGCTGCAATCTCACAAAGGTTGAGAACCGCTGCTCTATGCCATTTCTGTATTTTAGCATTGCTATGTTCTGATTTGAGATGGAGTGAGATTCTGTAAGAGAGGCTTTTATAATATTTTTGATCGATGTATGATTGGCTGTGATTTCAAGAGAAGCAGCAGCCAGTTATGTAGTTCTTGTTAGTAACAGTGAACTTCAGCTGAGACCTATAGAGATGTCTGAATTCATTCTGTAATTCTGGATAAGAATGTGGACGTCAGAAGTGTTTTTAAATAGAATGTCATTGATTTCAGTGGATTATTAATTTTGTGTACGTGTGTGCAAACATATGCATGTGCATGTGTAAAGACTGTTATTGGTACTGTAATGACAATTATTTGGTGCAGAAGTATTTGACAGTTCTTTATACAGTACCATGCTCAAAAATTAGATGCAGTGACAGATAGTATGACTCTATATGCACATTCAAGATTATCATGCAATCACTGTTCAAACATAACAGTAAAGATTAAAGACAATATTATAGCAATTGTGGCAATAAAAGCAGAACCCCTGAACATTCATGTTTCTGGAAGAAAGATACAAATTCAGCATAGTTGGTTGAGGCGCTGTGCTACAAGCTGGAAGGTTCAAGTCCAGATGAGGCGGATTTTTTTCAATTTACCTAATCCTTCCAGACACACTGTGGCCCTTAGATCGACTCAGCCTCTAACAGAAATGAGTACCAGGGATCTTCCTGGGGGTTAAAGGCCGGTTAGCACAAAAGGCTGACAACCTTACCGCCATCTGTGAGCCGATCGTCTAGAGAAAATGTGGAGGCCTCAACATCTCACAACCCTATGGGTCTTCATGGCCGGTTACAGGAATAGCTTTTCTTTTTGTACCTTACCTGGTATATAATAATAGTAAACCTTGCTTTGGGAGATACATAAAATGACTTCCAAACCAGAAATCCACTTATTCTTCCATGACCTCTGTAATTCATGAAGCAGGGTTCTCAAGAGGATGATAACTACATAGGTGGTCAAGAACTTACCTGCCAATTGTGAATCTCAAAGATTCATTGAAGTGTTTACAAGAGCTCCCCATTAGTCTGTATTTTTATCCAGAAGAATCCGGTCCATTCCCTTTTGTACAGATTTTCTGTATAAAATTGTGTGTTCTGTGACTTTACACCTAAAATTCAGAATTTTGGAATCACAAAAGCATCACAGAGGCATCCATTACTAGGGAATAACACTTATCGGTGGCAACAGTTACACCCACAACAGTGGAAGTGCTGTTGAGTTCAGCATTGACTATTCATTCTGCCATAAAAGAGTATAGAGGGAGCCTGCACACTGCAAAGGGGAAATCTGTATAGTATAGTATAGTATTTATTGCATTCAAGCAAATCCAATTACAGGCCAACNATGTTCAATACCAAATAAAACCAGTCAAGGTATAAGCTTGCTATATACAATGCAGGTATCAGTGCAATATCCTTGAATGTACAACTGCACATCCAAACAATGCATGCAATATTGAATGAACATAGTAAATTACTACTCATTTATACAACCAAAATATTCATCCAAAGTATAAAAGGATTTTGAATGTAAAAAGGCATTTAAGGCCACTCTAAATTCCTTATTATCATGTGCTACTTCCTTTATTTTTAATGGGAGACAATTAAAAAGTTTAATTCCATAGCAATAAGGACCCTTCTGATGAACTGTTAAATTTGTCTGAGGGCAATATAAATCTAAACCGCGCCTTGTATTGAGACCATGAATCTGTGTTGATGTATGGAATAGACCCTTATTATTTACAACAAATATCAATAAAGAAAATATATATTGGGACTGGAGTGGCAAAATCCCCCAATCCCTAAATGCTTGTCTACAGGAATCCCTTGCCCTTAGCCCACTCATAATTCTAATTATTCTTTTTTGAATTCTAAAAATTTGTACACTAAACGAGGTATTGCCTCAAAAGATAATTCCATAGGGTAAAAGTGAATGAAAATAAGAATAGTAAATCATTTTTAATGTTTCAGTAGGCATGATGGGCTTAATAACCCTCATTGAATAACACGCCTTACACAACTTAGGTATGAGTTGGGATATATGGGCCTTCCAAGTACACGTGCTTTCAACAATTATAGTGATAGTAGAACACCAATAAGAGACAAAGCCTGTGATGACAGAGAGTACCAGAGGATCAAATGAAGAATGATCTAAGGGGCTGTGAAACCCTGTAAATATTGTGAATGATCGTGATTCACTGTACACAGTTGTACATAAGTATATCTGGTGTATAATAAAATCCATTTTAGTGCACATTGCAGTTGCAATCTGCAAGGCAATGGTGACTGCAGTGTACACCAAAATGGAGCATCTTCAAGAAATGTTGTAGCTAAAATTGTATATTAGATGTGGGCCATGAAAACTTAAGGACAGGAATCCTCATTCTATGGTTTTCCCTTGGGATACTAATCTTTAGGTTTTTAAATAGACTGGAATGTAGAGAATTCTGAACTGAATGGTATTAAGCATTTACCAAATTCAGTATATTCTCATATGGCTTTCACTACTTCTAGAGCAATTTCATGTCATCATGTTATTGTCATGGAACCCATCCTCCCTTCATAGAACCCTACAAAACAGGGCACTTCAAGATTTAAATTGTACATCATGTATACATAATTAAATGTAAGATGTGAAATCAGCAGGCATTTCAGGAATAGAAAGAGGGAATATCTGAAGGACAAAATTGATGAGCTTGCAACGAAAAGTAAGGACAAGAGCATCAGACACCTGTATGGAGGAGTAAATGACTTTAAGAGGGGTTACCATCCTAGAAGTAACTTAGTGAAGGATGAGAATGGTGATCTACTTGCAAATTCCCACAACATTTTGAATAGCTGAAAGATGTGTAGTCATCATGAATTTGTAATATGTGACACGTTTTATATCCAGCCCTATGGGGAGATGATTGGATCCATGAAATGATAAATAAATGTAAATGTAAACTACTTCTCTCGGTTATTGAATGTACATAGGGTCAGTGATGTTAGGCAGATAGAAATACATACATCTGAGCTGTTAGTACCTGATCTTAGCCCTTTTGAGGTTGAAATTGCTATTGCAAAATTGGAAAGGTATAAATCACCAGGCAAATTCCAGCAGAACTGATTCAAGCAGGAGGTTAAATTTTATGTTCTAAGATCCATAAGCTAATTAATTCTATTTTGAATATGGAAGAATTGCCTGATCAAAGGAAAGAGTCTATTATTGTACCAGTTCACAAGAAGGGTGATAAAACTGACTGTAGTAATTATCAGGGGATGTCACTGCTATCAACTTCATACAAAATTTTATCCAATATTCTTCTCTCAAGATTGAGTCCATACATCAATGAAATTATTGGGGATCATCAGTGTAGGTTTAGACGTAACAGATCAACTAATGATCAGATCTTTTCCCTTCGTCAGATATTGTAGAAAAAATAGGAGTACAATGAGACAGTACATCAGCTATTTGTAGACTTCAGGAAAGCCTATAATTCAGTTAGGAAGTAGTTAGTTAGTTAGTTATTGGAGAGGGTGGGTTTCCCCATGCACCGCGACCAGTTTGATGTATTGTGCTTCCCTCTATGATATTCTACCAGTCTCTATACCCTACCGATACTGGTGCTTACCATCAGTCCCGACCGAGCCACCGAGTTCGGCCTCTAATGGCTTGGCGGTATCTATAATGCCTCCCCCATCTATCAGAGGTGTTAGAGACTACTGTTGGGCGGGAAACGTCCTTGAATTTGGCTCAGTGACCTGCTTAGGAGATATGAGGTTCTTTTACATGCCCACGGCTTAAAGTCCCTCCCAGGGGACTTGTTCCCTGAATTTTTCCGCCTTAAAAATTCCACGACCTCCGCCAGGTTTGAACCCGCATACCACAAGTCATGAGGTGGGAACGTTACCTCTAGACTACGGAGGCTGCTCGGTTAGGAAGTAAGTATTGTACAATATTCTCATAGAGTTTTGAGTACCCATGAAACTAGTTAGGCTGATTAAAATGTGTTTGAACAAAACATATAGTAAAATCCATATAGGTATATACTTGTGTGACAGTTTTCCTATCCAGAATGGTCTAAAACAAGGAGATGCTTTATCACCACTCCTTTTCAACTTTGCTTTAGTATATGTCATTAGGAAAGTCCAGGAAAACTAGGTGAGACTGAAATTAAATGGGACACATCAGCTGTTGGTCTATGCTGATGATGTGAATCTACTGAGTGATAATATAGATACCATAAAGAAAAACGCAGAAACTTTAATTGACACTAGTAAGGGGGTTGATCTACAAGTAAACACAGAGAAAACTAAGTATATGTTGCTGTCTCATCACCAAAATGCAGGGCAAAATCATGACATAAAAATAGGTAACAGATGCTTTGGAAATTTGGCACAATTCGGATATTTGGGAACAACTGTAACAGAATCAAAACCTAATAAGTGAAGATTGAATTCAGATAATGCTTGCTACCATTCATTCTTCTTTTCTGTTGTCTCCAAACATAAAAATTAGAATCTACAAAACTCTAATTTTGCCTGTGGTCCTATGTGTGTGTGAAGCTTGCTCTGTGACATTAATAGAGGAACATAGGCTGAGGGTGCTGAGGTGAATATTTGGACCTAAGAGAGATGAAGTGACGGGAGGCTGGAGAAAACTATATAATGAGGATTTTGATAACCGTACTCTGCACCAAGTATAATTAGAATGATCAAGTCAAGGAGGATGTGAGGGGAAGGGCATGTAGCACAAATGGCGGAGAAGAGGAATGCATATAGGATATTGGTGGGAAAGCTAGAAGGAAAGATACCACTAGGAAGACCAAGATGTAGAAGGGTAGACAATATTGAAATGGATCTTAGAGAAACACAATGGGATGGTATGGACTCGATTGATCTGGTTCAAGATAGGGACCAGTGGAGGGCTCTTTTGAACATGGTAATGAACCTTCATGTTCCATAAAATGCTGCAAAGATCTTGAGTGGCTGCACAATTGACAGCTTCTCAAGAAGGGCTCAGCTCCATGAGTGAGTGTGTCTACATTATTAAATGTTGAAGGTTAGTTTGGCCTGTGTGTTGAACTGTGTGGTTAATAAAAAGCATAAGATAAAATGACACTTTCATTACTATGATTTACATGGAAGAATCACATTAAAAACAGTTTTATGATGGAATCAATGAATTACACCAAGGTCCTGTGTCAGACTTTTGTTGTGATAATGAAGCAGTGCTCCTGTAGTTCCTGAGGTTGAGTTAGCATTTTGTATGATTATTGCCTGGTTTTCAATTTTAGGTAATAAAATTGCTGACAGATGTAAACCAGGACCTGAAAAAATTCCGCAGAATGAATATGCAAGCAGATTTACAGTACACGGAATTGATCAGTAAGGAGAAAGATGTCAAGTTAAAAATGAAAAACTTGGAAGAAGGGTGAGATAATACAAAGACAATATTTTCCATTCCTCAAGTGATGAAACAGTGATAGTTAATTCATGACAAGGGTGCCACAACGCACTCCTTTTGAAGATATCTTTCAGATTAAGAAAGGAAGTAATTTAAAAGCATGGATTCCTTACATGTAAACATACTACATACTTTCAATGACAATACTATAGTTTATTAGAAAAATGTTTGCAACATAACAAATAACATCATTGTATTATTCACAGAATGTTTCACAGTCATTCTATCTGGCATTGTCTGTTTAATGGTTATTTTAAACACCAGTCATTAGTGGGGTTCTTTTATGTATGCTGATTTGTGTCAGCCAAGCCATAGGTTGTAAATAACTATGACAACATATTGCACAAAAGGTACTTATTTTCAGTAGTGGTTCTGGGCAACATGATCATTATTTGTAGCTCTCATAAAGTTATGTTTGATATGCATAAAGGGCTCTTTGAAAGAGCTTTGTCTTGCAGATCTTTCTTTTCTTAATGATATGTTAATATATGCACCTGTGCCACCAAATGATTTTGAACTCAGAATGATATTCATGCATGAAGATTATCCCATAAGTGCTCTCTTTCAGTACTTACATGATGGCTATTTAAGCATTTTGTATGGAACAAATGGCATTGTCATCCTATTCAGTATTCTAAAGTGGTATGAGATATTACATCTTCAGTAATATATATGCATCATGTTTACTGGGGTGCTTTTCTTCATTACATGGTTTACTTACTGTATGCCCCAGAATAAAATTTTCAACACATTAGCTGTATTTGGGAACCCAAATGCCATCTGTGGTCAGTTTCATCTAGGGGTATTTAAATAAGTATATGAATTGCCTGAAAAAAAGATAATTCCCTCATTATCGGTTAGTATTTTGGTGGCGCCTGATCTAGTTCTAATTCCCCTAACCCCTTGCCTTAGAGGAATACTTATTGGCATGGGTATGTCATTAATTGATTACTACTGTGTATTAATATTAAATTGACCTGCAAGAATATGCACTTGGACAGGAGACGTTTAAAAGCAACACTCTTCATAGCAGCTTGAAATATGTCTCAGTATTTTGGGGTTTGGTGCCTTGAACACTTCTGGCCTGGATGTGTCAAAATGTTCTTTTGTGTAAATGTGAAAGTGAGCACATAAGAGTATGATGGACATAAAATCATAACCATATTTTGTACCCACTTGATGTAGAGATTAGGAAACCCCTTTTCCTTTTCCAGGGTGTGCTCATGAATGTAATCTTTCTTGTTTCCTTTTTCTTTTCTTTCCTTCTTTCTTTTATATTCTTATCTCAGCCCCACTGTTTAGAAGTTAATTTTCTTTTGCATGTGTGTTCTTAAACTTTCTATGTCTCAGATTGCAGATTTAAAATTTTTGTATTTTTTTCTGGAATAATTATATGTAAATACATATTGTGTCATATAGACCACTGGCTAAGCGGTGAATCTGTAAACAGCGGCCGTTGCTATGTAACGCCCGCAGCATACATGCGCACAACAATATAAGAACGGTGTTTTCTGCTTTATCTTTGTCTCTACCACAGCCGTTTCTGGGCAACAACTCGGTAAACACATTCCCACAGCAACAGACACAAACACGACAGTAGAAGAACAGTGTTTTCTATGTGGTCCGTGCTCAAGTTAGTTAACTCAAAGTTAGTTAACAGTTAAATTCTGCACGGAGGCTGTAAAGAGAGGAGTTGAGCTGAAGGCAGAACAATCTCCATTGTTAAAAGCCGTTGCTAAGGAACAGCTGATGAAGACACAGCAAGCTGAAAAAAAGCTTAGCTGGTGCTGTGGTGATTTATGAATTGTGGAGATAAGTGGTTACACTGTAATTGCTTGTAGTTCTGAGTCTTGCATATAAATGGTTAATAAATCCATTCTGACCCTGTCTGTAGTCACATCCATACATGTGACAATATTTTCATTCACTTAAATTTATACTTTTGAATTAATTTTTCTTGTACATATTTATTGGAAATATTATACAGTTGATGTTATTTTTCTGTAAGAGTTGGATGAAAATAAGTATTCTCAAGTTTACATGATTTACTTTCAAACTTGCAATACAAATGTAAGTATCTTGAACACATATTTATAAATTTAAGGTGGAAATACCATAACTTGCCAAGGGTGATGGGTTGATCAACACTTCATTTATATTTTCTGCACTGAATTATCTCCCCACAAGTCTCCAAAAGTTTGGCCATAAGCCCTTAAATTATCTTCATATAGTAGTATGTAACTTAAGAACAAAAGGCCATCTATTTCTAAACATTAATGATAAAATGATCGTGTTCAGTGCATTAGAAGGAATTGGGCAACAAACAAAAATGACCTATTTGAAGATATTATCTCAACATTCTCCTGGAAAGACTGAGGAATCCACAAAAGAGTCTGTCAGGATAGTTTTTGTGCCAGTTGAAATTCAAACTTGTCATTTTCAGGATGGAAGTTGGTAAATTAATGCTCAAGCCAACTTTCCCTCCCCCAAAAAGAAAAACAAGACCAGACTATAATATAACAAGCTTAACGTCTTGCAATCAAAATGGGATATATGCCTGCTGCAAAACTATTTGTGTTTGTTTTTTCTTTCTGTTAAAGGTACAACCATATTTTAGAATTACTAGATGTGTTGGAAACACAGAAGAATGATGCAATCCTGTTCACTTTCCGACAGTCCTCTGAGAACTTCAGTAAAATATTTAAGAAGCTAGTACCAACTGGTCATGCCGAGTTAATGATGAAGTCCGCAGAAAATGAGACTGTTCCTATTGAAGATGTAAGTAATCATTAAATTTAACAAAAGCTGACATCCTGTAAATGCAGTACAATAATTTCAGTATATTATTAAACTGGACACTTACCTTCATCTGGTGTCAAGGTCCCAAACATTTAGGAATGTATTTCAGTGCTTTCATTTATATATACTCAGTGTTCCAGGAAAGAAATTTGCAGAAATATATTTTTAGAGACTTACAAGATTGTGGTAATAGTTAATAGATTTAGAATTGTTAGAAATTTACGAAGTCCTTAATTTGTCTTAAACATGTACAATTTTACTTTTTATAAATTTCAGTTAATATTAAATAAATGTATTATATTTGAGCATAATGTCAATGCGGTCACATATTTTAATTGTATTCTCCTTCATGCTGGTTGATAAGTATTCATGTCTGCTTTGCAGTAGGTTCTCTTATTGTGATATAATTTTGACACTTCTTTTTGTTACATGTGGTGAGAGATTTTTTTCTTTCTAGAGAGAAAGAGAATACTCAGATTTAGCAGATTACTGAGGAACAGTTCTGTAATATTTTGTGCTGTTAGAACATAACCCTGCTTCAAATCAAGTTTATTTGACATGGGATTGCTGAAGTTTTGACTTCGCTCATCATCTTCTGTTCTAAAAGACACAGTATTTCAGAAACTAAATCTGTTTCTGCCCTTAAGTGAAAAGGTTGAAGGCATGTAATCTTTCTGCTCCATTACAAAGATCTACTCATGATCACTCATCCAGTGATTGAGGTTAACTCATTATGTTAGGACTACTGAATCATGGATAGAGTCCAAAACTCAATAATCCTGAGCATTATACACAATCATCAGGACTGTTTAGAATTGACTTGAAGTTTACTTTAATTTTATACTCATAAATAGCCACTCTCTGTGATACTAAAGAAAGTATATAGTCCATATGCTATATTGTTTTTTTTTTCTTATATGTTATAATAAAACATTGTTCATAGGTTACTGATGTCAGCACAATTAAAGGAATTGGAATTTCAGTTTCCTTTGATACTGATGGCACACAAGTACATGAACTTAAAGAGACATCTGGAGGAGAAAAATCTTTACTTGCATTGGCACTAATCTTTGCCCTGCAGAAGTGCTCTCCTGTCCCATTCTGTGTGATCGATGAGGTGGACTCTGTATGTACTCAGATCAATGTTTCATCACATTTTATTAAACATATGGTCATTTTGGTAACTTTGCATATGCATTTATTAATCTGCTAACAACACACATTGCAAATTCCTTTTATACCTCCCCCTCTACAACTTTCAGTGTCCATCTCCTAGTCTCTACCAGACCATTTTTCCCCCTCATATGCTTGGTACAGCATTTCATATATTCTTCTCTGCACTAGATACATTTTAACACTAAACAAGAGGTTAATGAAAACATCCCTGATATTCTAGAAAGCATGTTTTTCCTCTCAGCATCACTACATCTGACTTTTATAATACTATATAATCTGCTGCTATTATATAGAAAACGATTTTTCATATAGTATATGTAAAGTATAGCACAGTTTTGTAGTTTTAAATGTACTAAAAGATGAGTTGTGTAAAATTTGTAGGAATGCTTATGATCTATCTTCATAACAGGTTTTACTTGGCTTACCAAAGTAGTTAATTACAATTATCAAAAATAATGCTAAATATAGACCACCAATTTGTTATTTTGAATAGTAGAGAAATTACATTCACAAGAGATTAAACATTTCAAAAAACAATTGCCATACAAAATTTTAGGTCCCTAAATTAAATGATGCTAATATTCCCATCACTTTATACATTTGTATGACTGACGTCTTTGTATTATTGATGGCAGGGCATATGAGATCATTAGTGTGATGTTCATATCAGGTTTCATGAAAATAAGTTGGATCCTTCAGATGTTATTAGAAGAGGGGACACACACAGAGTAAAACACAGCTCTCTGACAGTAATCAAATATCATGTCACATCATGAATCTTTCACAATAATGTAATCATGCAGATGACCAACATATTGTCCTGATGTAGTGACTAGACAAGGGATTTGGGCTGGTAATTGGGTTATTGAGCTCATACAGCTCGTCACTACAAATAACTTTAATAACGTCTCTGATTTATACACTTTACAAATCATTACAGCATACCCAAAGCCTTCCCAGTCTGCTGTGTCTTCACCAATCATTGCCTAGTGACAGATTTCACCAATGTTCTCTGCTTCCATGCTAACATCCTTGCCTGCTGGCGACTATCTTGCACCTAACCTATGATGGCAAACTCGAACTCTGTTCTCCACTGTAACTAACTCTCTGTCTGAACTCTCCAACCTCAGCCTGGACCCTACAGAGAACACCATTTCTAACAGTACTGTTATAGCAGCCATTGCCTAGCAATGGGCTAGTCATTGTTATGTGTTTACCCAGCTGTTACCATGCAATGGACAATGATTAGGTAGTTATGTCACTATATCATAGCAAAGTAATCACCATATAGTGAAAGAAGCTGGCCTTTGTTAAGAGGACTTTAACATAGACATACATATATATACTTCCATTGACTGATACTGGGTTATTAATTTTTATTGTACTGAGTCTTGCCTGCTGCCAGTTTGTTGTTTTCCTCTGTTTTTGAATGTAGTAATCTAATGCATCTTAAAAAACTTCCTTGACCTACCACAGTCCTGTTATTTTTTCTTTCACTTACAGAGAATGGCAATCATGACAGTCAGGGTTGGATTTAAGGGAAGTGGTGAGAGTAATCTCTCTGTGGCCTCCACAAAACAGAAAGAGAATCCACAGATTTTGTGGAGACGTTTGCTTCTCTAAAATCAAGAAAATTTCATTTGTTGTTTTTACTTATTATATGAAATTAGAACAAAAAGAAAAATGTTGCAACATAAATTTGTCACTACTGACAGGGGCCTCCACATTTTGATTGCCCCAAGGCCCCTTCAACTGTAAATCCAATCTTGGTGATGATGCATGAGCACAATAGCAGTAACGTTTCTCTGTTACTTACAGCTTTACCTGTCAACATACCTCAGTTCAGAGTTCAGTAACCTCAGCACAGGTGCATACATGCACTGAACACAAACAAGGCTGGTGGACATGGTGACATTTGTAGTGTGATTCACTTCGTAGTATAACCATTAATATATGAATAACATGGATATGGTGCAAGGGAAATTATTTTTTATTGGCAATACTTTTATATAAAGTGATTTTGGTATTTCAGATGCTGGATTCTGTGTATAGACCTTCATTGGCCCAGCTGATAAATGAACTTTCCAGAGAAACTCAGTTCATTGTTACTTCACATGGCCATGATATCTTGGGTTATGGGGATCAGGTCTTTGGAGTCAGGAATATAAATCAGGTAATTTAAATGTCCTGTAGTGCATGTGTCAGGACTTTGAATTCCTTTTCCTGAGCCACTGTGATGTAATGTGATTTTAGTCACATGAATGCAACACCACCAGTGGACTGTATAGGAGAGGATTACTAGGTACTAGGGATAAAGATCCCCCATCCACCTCTGAATTTGGGTTTCGCATGTGTAAATATAGTATGCGCCAAAATATGCAGTACTGAAACTTGCGCATCTTGAACACACATGTGCGTTTGTTGACGGGGCTTAGCTCCAGCCTCACGTGTTCCCAGTAGCAAAAACGTAGTTGTGTTGTGCAGTTGTTGGAAATGGGTCTCTCGGCAGAGGAAAAAGTATTCATCATTGAGTATTATTTCCACTCATACAGAAGTGGTCGTGAAGGGAGACCAAGTTTAGAAAAGGTGACAGAACAATTCCAAGAGAGATTTAATAAGATGGCAGCAAGTAACAGTTATGTTGTCTATTGTTATGGAATTTCGCTGTTTCTTGTAGTGTACTGTGTCAGTGGGAGGGGAAGTCTGGTCAACCAGTAACTGTTTCGGCAAAAGGGAATCATGCACATGTTCTTCAGCCGGTGCTCTTACCATGACCCAAGAACGCTACAGGGACATGGTGATTGGACCCTTTCTTCAAGATTTGAGAAGGTTCTGTCTTGCAAGGGGCCTTCACATTAATAGACAGTGGTATCAACAGAATGGGGTGACCAGCCATACCACTCAAGAATCCCTAGCCGTGCTGCAGGAAAACTTTCCAACACCAATCATTTCACGTGGTACTGACTTCCCATACCCGTGCCATTCCCCCGATCTTACACCTCCTGTTGCCTACTTGTGGAGAATGTTAAAGGAGAGTGTGTTCAACTGTGAAGATCCGCCAAGAACTGTAACCCTGANGTTCTTCAGCCGGTGCTCTTACCATCACCCAAGAACGCTACAGGGACACGGTGATTGGACCATTTCTTCAAGATTTGAGAAGGTTCTGTCTTGCAAGGGGCCTTCACATTAATAGACAGTGGTATCAACAGAATGGGGTGACCAGCCATACCACTCAAGAATCCCTAGCCGTGCTGCAGGAAAACTTTCCAACACCAATCATTTCACGTGGTACTGACTTCCCATACCCGTGCCATTCCCCCGATCTTACACCTCCTGTTGCCTACTTGTGGAGAATGTTAAAGGAGAGTGTGTTCAACTGTGAAGATCCGCCAAGAACTGTAACCCTGATCTTACACCACCTGATGCCTACTTGTGGAGAATATTAAAGGAGAGTGTGTTCAACTGTGAAGATCCGCCAAGAACTGTACCCCCGATCGTACACTACCTGATGCCTACTTGTGGGGAATGTTAAAGGAGAGTGTGTTCAACTGTGAAGATCCCCTAAGAACTGTACCCCCAATCTTACACCACCTGATGCCTACTTTTGGGGAATGTTAAAGGAGAGTGTGTTCAACTGTGAAGATCCACCAAGAACTGTGCCTGCATTACGCGAGCAAATCGTCTCCTTTTGCAGAGTCTGCAGCAACCTTTGTTCCAGGACACGATTGAGAATCTGTGTGAACGATATGAACACTGTCTACAGCGAGGCGTTGCACATTTCAAAAACTTACATTATGCGTACCATGGTAAATCAACACGCTAATACTGTGTATGCTAGTTTCTTTCATGAGAAATAAACTCACAGATGACAACAAGGTAATATTGTTCGTCNACCCTGATCTTACACCACCTGATGCCTACTTGTGGAGAATATTAAAGGAGAGTGTGTTCAACTGTGAAGATCCGCCAAGAACTGTACCCCCGATCGTACACTACCTGATGCCTACTTGTGGGGAATGTTAAAGGAGAGTGTGTTCAACTGTGAAGATCCCCTAAGAACTGTACCCCCAATCTTACACCACCTGATGCCTACTTTTGGGGAATGTTAAAGGAGAGTGTGTTCAACTGTGAAGATCCACCAAGAACTGTGCCTGCATTACGCGAGCAAATCGTCTCCTTTTGCAGAGTCTGCAGCAACCTTTGTTCCAGGACACGATTGAGAATCTGTGTGAACGATATGAACACTGTCTACAGCGAGGCGTTGCACATTTCAAAAACTTACATTATGCGTACCATGGTAAATAAACACGCTAATACTGTGTATGCTAGTTTCTTTCATGAGAAATAAACTCACAGATGACAACAAGGTAATATTGTTCGTCTTTTCATTTCAGTACTGTACAGTTTGGCACATACTGTAGTAAGAAAAGTGTATTGAATATGGATACTTAAGTTGATAATACTTTTGCTTCGCTGATTGCTTGATTTCATATACAGTGAATTCCCAGTTGTCTGATATCCAAGCATTAAGAATTCTGATTTCTTTCATCCTGGTCCATCACATTAACCTTTTATAATTAAGGATTCTAATGCAACCAGCAAAATATTTAAAGAAGATTTACCATTTATACAAAATTCTGATGTGCTTAATTTCACCTGCCATGTAGTTGTTCTCCAACCACCAGTAGTAGTGTAGCGCATCGTTCTGTGTCATGCAGTTGCTATTTAAGTAGAGGCATGTTGAAATTTTGATTGCATTACAGTATATCCTAAATCTTTCTACCCTCACTGCTTTATGTTGCCTAGGAAGACTTCCATTCAAGAACTAGAATGAATATATGTTGTAGGGTTTGAGGTTCTCACAAAGGTAGTTATGAAGAGTACTGTCTTCTCGTTAAGGCACTGTGCTGCAAGCCAGAAGGTTGTGGGTTCAATTCCAATGAGGTCATTGGATTTTTCATTTGACTCGATCCTTTCAGCCACACTGTGGCCCTGGGAATCTTCCTGGGGCTAAAGTGCGGCCACCAGCACACAAGGCTGACAACCTCACCACCATCTGTGAGCTAACTGTCTAGAAAATGTGGGAGCCTCGACACCTCATAACCCTATGGGCCTCTACAGCCTGTTACAGGGATAGCTTTACCTTTCCCCCCCCCCCACCAAGAGTACTATCTTCTGGAATGCAACGCCCTATAGTCCACTGAAAGTCAACCAGCATTTTGGAGGAACAGATCGACCCTGACAATGGAGGCAGTATCTTCCTCCAAAATATCAATTGACTTTCAACAGACTATATGGCATTGTATTCCAGAAGATAGTACTCTCGAAAATATGTTGTTTCGACTTTGTATGGGTTTCTACCAGAGATTTTCTCATGTAACCAGCAGATACAGCTGACACATTCCATCTGGAAGTTTACTGTGGCTATATGTGTAAGTACCTGAATAACTTCTGCTATCAAAACCTGTCATAATATTTCCTGCCTTGTGTTCACTACTCTATAGCTTCATCAGTGCAAGTTGACACTTACTTGTGATGATAGTCTTGGCTGTCAAACTTCATTGTGATGCTTATCTGGCAAGCATGGAAAATTTGGAAATTTGGATCACTGTTTCCACTCTTTACAGTTCACTCTTAACACACACTAGTGTCCTCAGTCCATTACACTCTCCACTATCAATTTCGTGGCCATGGATTTGAATGCAGGAACTATAACAGTCTCACTGAATTACACACTCCAAATATCACTATACTACAGCACATGTAGTCTTCTCTTCACAGCCTAACTGGCAACTGAACTCATAGTGCCATCTTTTCAGCCTTCTTTTCAGAGCTCAACTCTCGACTAGCTACTCACTTGGAACTCCAGAACTTGACTGATAATTCAAAGTCAAGAGTCAAAGTCACACTGCGACTGATGGTCAGTCAGTCAGTAAGTCTTGGTTTTGAGCCGCATTTGGTGCTCATGACCAGATATTTATTACTGTTTGACAGTTATGGTCTTGTTCTTGTGGGGTGCCCTCTCTGATGAGAGGACGGGTCTGCCTTTTGTATATACTGCTGGTCCTTGCCAGCGCAGTCTTTCTCTGGTCTGAGTCCCTTGGAACTTGCAACTATATTTTACTGTCTCAGATTTAAGATTTCCCCTTTTGCCACCTACTACAACTTGCAGGGTCACAGTGGAGGCATTCGACCCCACCTCTGCATGGGTTACTGACAATTCTCCAGTGAACTCTTTTTTTATATCTGCTTTGCACAGACCAAATAGAAAACATCATTCCCAAAAATTCCTCTATTATTACTTGTGTATCTGTTGCTGTGGGAACTTGTCTACCAAGCCGTTGTCTAGTACTGGACGTCTCCGCTGGCTCCACTGTTTCGGCCTTCAGGTGTCATGTCACAGTATCTTCAGAAAAAATCAGTGTTCGACTTCTTCAATTTAAAAGGGCAGTACAGATTATTCCTGATTTGTAACTTCACAAGCTATCATGTTTTTCAGTGGCAATTATTGTTAAAATAATACTGATTTCCATAATTAAGTCAGAGGACAGATAGACCCGTACAGCTTGTTCACAGGGATTACTGCAGTATCTACACACTTGTAGTCCATACTGACTGAGAATAGTTTTAGAATGTAAAATGGAGTTCAACAGAAACTTTCATACACCATATTGTAGCAATTATTCATGGTGGAAACCACTGGACACTATGTGCACATTTAAATTCCTGTGACATATCTTGGATATCTGTATTTTTCAATTATCCTTGCATTTTTCTCAACTTTTGACATCCATGATAGTTCATGGAAAAAAAGACTTGCTATAAATTTTGACTAGTTATTGTGACAGAAAATAAATCTGAACCTACTCTAGTCATGATAACATAAGCAAATATAAATTGCTGTACCCAGGCTTTTCTTTTTAAGTATGGAAAATATTTTTGGTGTTTCTGTGTATGAAATTTGACTAAATGTGGCATTCCTTAATGTCTTGTATTTGTTATTTACTGTAGATAAGCCATGTGACTGTAATGACCAAACAAGAAGCCTTGGCATTTGTGGCCTAATGAGTCAGATAAGTGAAATTGTGTTTCACCAGTCAACAAAGTATCATGAAGAAACGTGAGAATTATACCATGCCTTATGTTCATCCATTTGGTGCAGCTTATTAAACATGGAAGTTGGAAGATAAAGAAATGTAATTTTTAATGTAGTATTTTATAATGTAAGTTTTCACGGCGATGACAATGAAGAAAGTCATCTTCTGGGTTTAGGCACCGTGTATTCNATATTTTATGAGTTTATGATGTGCTGCACAATTATAGAGCTTATAGCATAGCAGTGATAATTTAAAATTTCATTTTAGCTTCAGGTAGTTAATGACCAGTGCATTAAGAGGGAATAGGATGAAGGGACCTCTTACATGTAAAATCCACCCCATCAAACATAAATATAACCCATCTGTGACATTTCTGTGACTTGTCAGTAGCCATTTAAATCTCAGTTTTAATTAGTATCTTGAGCTCTTGTAATTTATATCACTTTGACATTACTTAGTTATTGTATTTGTTTCTGAATTCATGCAATTTAGCTCTTGCAATGAAGTTTTTAAGTGCTCTATTCTTGTGAACTAATATTTTGACAATTAAGACTATTATCTGAAGGAAGGTGACAAGGAGTTAGTATCTTTGTGTTATTATGATGATAACCTCTGGGTTTAAGCATTAAGGAAATGTTTTTTGTGGCAGATTGATAAGCTGTCCATATTTCGCAATTTGTAATAAGTTCCTTCTTTCCACACTCTTGAAGGGAATGTTTTGAAGGTCAAGATTGTTGTTTTGCCTAATGGCCTGTACTTCTCTTAAGCTTGGGATATTGCTGCTTCAACAGCCTGCATACTTGCTCTGTTTTTTTGCACAAATGCGGATGATCTAATTACAAGAAAGAGGCTCACATTATAACTCCTATGAATAGAGGAAAATGTCATGTTTTCAGAACTTACGCTGAAGCAATTTTTCAAGTTGCCATTATAGCTTATGTTAGTATAAAGAATGTATAAAAGTATGTCTGCAGTTCTTAATGCTGGTGGTCTTCATGAAATACTTCTTGTGGCCTAAAGTCATTGGACTAAATTTGCCATGTAAGTTGTACTTCTGATTAAATTTTTGATTCACATATTCTGAATAGGTTTGGGCATTATCTTCTAAGCTATGACAAATGGTTACCCATCACTTTAAACATCTTTCAGTAATTTGTTTTCCATTCTGATTATATTGCCTTTGTTGTTTGATAAATATAAACTTAGTTGAAGTGCGCCAATTATTCACAGTTGCCCACATATTAAAGAGTAATTCAGTTCAAAAAAGGATTATGAATGTCAGAGTTCAAGTAAGTTTAAAGCATGCAGTTTTCAAACGGATTCCTTTGACTCATGTTGTCCTTCAGTGTTACTGACATTAATTTGTTTGAGATACAAATCTGTGAGGACACCTGATTTAAAACGTTCAATAATTGTTTTGTGTTATATATAATATTGAAAAGAATTTCAAAAGGAAATTTATATACTTCTCTCATGTACCAATTTCCTGCACACTGAAGCATTACTCTGGTAATATTACCCCAGAAGTTTAGTTTCACTCTTACCGGAGCGTGTCTTAAGACACAATCTTAGCTGGTTCCATTTACCTCCAGTTCTCACAACCTATATACCAGAAATCCCTTGTCATGCTGTATTGCAATTCTAAATTACTACTTCCCAAGTATTTCTCGGCCATAATTATGTATGAACTCTTGTCTTCTACATCCAAGCTACATTTGCTCCCATTGTAACATACTGATTTCACTACCCAAACTGTACTAAGTGATCTAGGCATCCTTATATCCTCAACTGCCCACTTACTTCATTCCTCTTAGGTCTAGTTATTTCTCTCAGCACCTGTAAACTATGTTTGCCCATTGTTGTAGATTGAAAGTTAATACTGTGATTTAGGGCCATTTTATTACAATATGCGTGAGCAGACCAGTCACCTTGCCAGCCCATTGCCTTTAATCACACTCCATTCTTTTAAACAAGCCAGTACACCAGTGTAAGTTATAAGAACAGTGTGGGGACATTTTGTCACCAAATTGTCAGTTCAACATAATTAACTGGCTCTGAGAGGGAGTCAAGCCAACAGTGCCTACAGCCATTCTCTCTCACCAAACCAAGGACATTTTGACCACTTGATGACACACTGAATGATGGACAAATGGATTCAGGATTCTTGCTTCTGTCATTGCAGACGGAAATTCTATGGTATGTAGCTCATGCCAGCTCGAGCCAGATGGACCAGTGCAGTTATATGTTCAGGATTTTCCACGTTAAGGGAGTTAGAAACTAGTTAACTGGCACCCTAATACATAATAGTTGCTTTTAGGCATATATATATGTGCGTGCGTGCGTGCGTGCGTGCGTGAAGTCACATTAAAGCAGTCGATATAGCAATGGGCCACAGGTTGGATGGCCAGGGTTTTTTCCCCCAACAGGGGCAAGAGATATCTTCAGTGTCCAGACAAACTCCGGGGCCCACCCAGCCTCATATACAGTGGATACTGGGGTTAAAGCAGCAAGGAACTTAAAGCTGATCACTTACCACCATCTAGTGCCAAGGCCAAGAAAGGTGGAGTTATACCTCCACTCCCCCTTCTCTTCAATGCATAGTGCTTAACTTGTAAAGCACAAGGGTAATAGTGGCAGTGTCACTGGTGCTGGAACCAGCTTAATGTTTCACTTAGCCACCATGTTGGTACTATCAGTGGTATAAAATTATAAAGTATGAAGTTGGAGTGACCTATAGTGGAATAATATTCATACCAAGTTATACAAGAGTCTGTCACTTTGTTAAAAAATTAGTAATTGTGACAACAAAGTGGATGTAATAACACTAATAACTGAACCATTCATTGAAAATTATAGGAAGAAGGCTAGAAGTAATCATTCAAACATGAATAGTGAAATTAGATAATGAACAATTTCAGGGCATATTTTAAGAAGTAGAATAATTTTTAAGATCTATTACCACACATGTTTGGACTGTGTGGTCCAACTGTTGCTCCCACTTAAATGAGTTATTTTGCTCATCATATTGTTATTAATGACTGGCAATCATTAGTATAGTGTTTATGCCTGGTCTCATGAAAATCAAAAATCAGTTAACTGGTTTGAAAGTTTAAAGGAGGACACACAATCAGCAAGGTAATCTCAGAACCTAGTTTCTTCCTTACATGTGCATCCATTTCTGAATCCATTTCTTCATTATATGAACTACCTTTAAAACATAACTTATATTTAATTTTAGGAATGGAAGTAATGTATCCAGAGTATATATAGGTTAGATGTTGAGTTGCAATATGCTGCTATCTCCTGCACCAGTGTGCTTCAAGTGTTCAGTGATACTGAACTGCCACTGTCCCTCAGTTGATGAAGCATGTGGCTGTTGCTGCATAGTGCCCAAATGAAGTCAGGCCAGCCACACGGTAACACTGTAAATCCTTCCATGAAAACTGTGAACATCAGATCATGTGTAGTTGTGTCAGTTTGAAATTTTGTCCTCTTTAAGCCATCCGTTAACATGGCGTCCATATGGTAGAAATCTTGTGGGATGCTGACTGCTCATTCCTGTCTGCCTTGCAGTACTCTGCTATAGGGTGGTTTCTGGAGTTTGTATGTATTCTCAATGTCTTCAGTGAAGAAAGTTGCACCATCTAGAATGTATGCTAGTCTTGGATGATCAAATGGTAGTAGACTTGATGAAAAGAGTAAAATCAATATCAGCAAAGAGGAGATGCTGTATTATGAGGAAGATCTGGCAATCTCATTAGATACCCAAACACTGGAAGATCACCAACATATGAGAAAGTATACATTGAAAGTCTCAGTAATTACAGAGGAATAACACTTCTCAATCATTACAAAATTTATAGAAGAATTTTAACTAAAAGAAATACAAAAAATATAGAAGCAAATTTGGTAATAATACAATTATTGTATGAGTAGATTTTGAAATGGGATACAACAGTAAAGAGAAAGAAATTTGATCAAGCTTTAAGAAGGTTAAAAGTTGCAGAATACTTTATAGAAAAAGTAAAACTGACATCCAATGACTGAAAAATAGTACCGAAACAAATTAAGATCAGCATATTCAAGAACAAGTAATAAAGTGAGATCAGGAAGTGTCTTCCTGCCAATCCTGTTTACTGCCATAAAACTAATAAAGTTAGAGAAGAAAATAAAATAAAAAACATGAAAACATTAATATTTTCTGAGAATAAGTTGAACCTTATTATAAAGAATGTGGACTGAAAATGAATATGGACAAGTAGAGGATTTCAAGGAATCTTAGGCATAAACATAAAAAAGTCACAATGGTTATACAGGCAGACATATTTAGTTATTTACCTGGGAAGGGAAAATAAATAGAGATATCAACAGAAGAGTATAAAATAGTTATAAGTTCAAATATATTATATAATAAATATTATGGAAGAGAGAGATTCAAAAGCGCTGCAAAAAACAATCTATGAAGTATATCTCAACTGACAGTAACATGTAATACCAAAACATGGACTTCTACAAAAAGAAACAAAAGCAAAATTCAAGCAATGAATAGTTTAAGAAGAATTAATGGAAAAATAAGAATGGATAGAATTAGATATGAAATTTTTAGAAAAGAAGTTTGAATATGTAATTTTAAGTTTGATGACAAAGTGGTATGGCTGTATAAAATTAATTGATAAAACCAAGATAATGAGAAGGGTATTTTAATTAATATGAAATGGAAGGAGATGATATAAACCTATACTGGAAGATATCAAGAATGGATGAAAGAGTTGGCAAGAAACTGAAAAGGAAAGAGTGAAGAAAGAAGAGACTGGAGACTTTTCATCCATTGACCTGTACAAAATGGAAATGATGCTAGAAGTAGTAGTGTAGTTAGTTACATAAATGAACATAATATTTACAAAACTATGATGTAACAAGGTTAATATGGCCTGGTTGACATGAATCAGTTAAAATAAAAACAGTCCTGTGCACACATTTATTAATTGAAATCATGGGTTTCAGGGTAAAAATTGTGTAATGCAAGGTGGAACACAATTTCTGCCCACTATCAATATGTCACTTATTGGTTTAGAATGTGACTCTTGGATCCGACTGTGTCAGATAAAGAAAATGAATAACAGTGTCAGTATGATTAGTAATTCAAGAAAATTT